CAGCCGACACTTTTAGTGCTTAGACACACCTAGAATGAGCACAGTAGGACACGTATCAGATCTCACACAAAATCACTCTGGTATGTGCAATTATTTTGGTGTATGGATCGTGCCTAAAGACACCCCACAATACACTACACGCTACAACATGTATACAATGAGACATTCCATTAGCTACGACACCCCCACAATAACAACTGTATACGTGGATACATGTACATACGATGCTAGACACCCCACATACACAGTATAACACATAAACTAGGCATCATGTCACAATACCGTATGTGTATCATACCATGTAATTGATGTGATGGCGATGCATGTACGATAGACCATATAGGCTGACAAGTGAGAAGGAGACTAGCTGTGAGGAGAGAATAAGAGAAGCGCTGGAGGTCAGAGATCGTGAATTGTAACAGTCCTTCCAGCTTGAGCACTTACCCAACATCATCCAAGTAGGGGTCCCTGGACGGACCGTAGTACTGTAAATTAACTGTATAATAACCTATCGTCGCATATTTCTCCTATATAACATAGATTTTTCCAATCGGTGTGGCAGATGAGCTGCCGGGAAATCCATGGGCATGGGGCGACGTCCATCAGATTCCTGAAACTATTTACAAAGGGTTTCCCAATTATTCAATTTTCAGCTTTTACTCACCTCACCCCTAATTCGCCTCATGTTCAATGCTCTTTACTCCCGTCCATCTCTACCTCCTCGCCGACACTCACCTCTCACAGCACCAAACCAGCTACCACCACAAGAGGAGTGCTGAGATAGCGCCATCAAATTCAGGATCACGAAACAAAGACAAGGTGGTAGCACATACTCACAATCCACGATCAATGACTGATTGGTATTCTGTGACACCACTACACGCATGTCTCAATTGCTAGACTACAACTTCGTGATCTCAGACTTGCCAGACCAGAAACTGGAGGACGGCAGAGTCGTCTGCAACTCATGGAGCTGGAGTCACATTCCGTGAGATCACTAAATAATATTTAATGAGCAAATGCCAGCCTATTAATATATACTGTCCAAGACTACGTACACAGAGACCTTGGTTGTGGGTTTTCGTCTGGAGAACGTTTCAGAGAAACGCTCTCAGAGATTCTGTGTGAAATTTGCACAATTTGTGTATTAACCAATGTCGTCCTCTGCACATGGCTTCATCAGTCTTCACTTGACACTTGGATCCTCTCCTCTCCTCTCTTCCTCTTCTCTCTGACATATCAGTGACGAGTGAGGCGTGGCTCAGCTCCCCAGCTCACCGCCTCCACTTCGTGCTAATTCTTTCGACATCTGTGAAACCATTTGAACTTCCGACACGACGACTGGCCCTCTCCAGACCAACCTCGAAGATCTCCCCCCCTCCATCCCAACGCCTCTTATACTGATCTGACAGCGGGCCCCCGATGCCGGGGAAAAGGCGGAAGGGGATCCACAGCACCTTACTATAACTCGGCTCCACATTGAGATAGTATTTTCAGCGAGGCATATCTTGGACACAACTTGTTCATGAAAATCAACTTATATGCTATAATCCTATATGGCTTCTCTCTCTCTTACAAAAGTGATTTGGCAGCTATAAGAGGCGTGGTGAATACGACACATGCGCTAGGTACTGTTTTTCATGGAACCAGACATGACATATTCAGAATTTGGATAAATATGGTAACCAAAAAACCGCCCAACCCCAACATGACATGAAATTTGATCTATCCCAATTTATTCCATACTCTTTCTCCTTTCTCACTCCATTATCTCCCCTCTTCTATCCCTACTCAACTGGCAAGACGTACTGAGCGAATTACGTAGCCACCAATCAGTGAGAGAAGTGTGTGGGGCGAAGGCAGCATCTGCTGATGACTCTTTTGTTAGAGAATTTATTTTATTTATCAGTTTTCATTTTACAGCAGTTCTATTAATTATAGGAATCAATCTTGTGTTTCATTCATCTTGTTTTCACACTAGTAATAAATATTACGAATAGATCGTTTTCATTTGCTAGAACAAACAATGTTGGTATAATTCTAACTATTATAACAGCATAAAATTTCTGATAAAACATTACGTGAAAACGATGACCCTATTGTTTTTTAGACATAAAATGAACTTACCAATTGTGCAAATGTGCAGAAACGATAGAAGTAAAGGAAAGTGAAAAGGAAATTTAGATCACAAAATGATGTCTCGTGTACTTAGAACGCACTTATGATACTTGTGAATGTGTTGACAGTAAGAATTAGATCATCAAGGGGTGTGGCCAGGGGGGCTGGAGAGAAACGCGAGAAAACCGGTAAAATTGAGCTTCTCCTGTGAAGTCAGCTATCAACGGGGTCCTTCCAGCTGCTTCAGTTCATGTGACAAACAGTAGAGTGATGTACACATGCATAGGGCTGTATAGCGATCGAATCTCACCATGGTGGATGGTAGTAGGGAGGCTCTGAACATTTGGCAGATTACAGAACTGCATCTTGTCATGTAGTTTAACCAATAAAATACCCCATTTCCCCCCTCCCGACCACCCCACCAAAGCAAAAGAAAGAGGAGGCGGGATGACAGTTGGTGTAATTAAAGAACGGAGACAAACAACTTAGTGAATTCACAACTGGCGCATAGCGGTTGAAGGAATAATAATACTCGTGATTGTGCACATGAAAGCTAAAACCACTCTCACTTATTTCACCCACTGTCCTTTTTACCCCCTACCTACGCATTTTAACAAACTCTCACTTAATTTTAACCCCAGCTAAGGAACCCCCCCACTTTAACACCCGTTATCTCCTAGTCTTCACCGTTCTTTCTTTTTTGTTTTGTTTATACTTCGACTTCGATTTACCCCACTTTCCCGTCCTAGCTCAATAGAGACACCCGCCTTACCGTTGGATTAAGAAAATCTTTTTTCCTAGTTTACCCCATCACGGGATAGATCTGCCTGACCATGTCCTCGGAGATTGTCTACCCCTGCTTCCCTCCACCCCGTCCCGCCCTTTACCCTCACCTTATTTAACCCTATACTATCTAATCTCCCCCAACTTCAGTCACAACCCCAATCGTTCTCACTTTTTAACCTTTCTCCTTTTTTTTTATGGCTGCCTAGCATTCCTACTCCCGCAACTGGGCTGGATGTCATTTGGTATCATGCCAAGAATTCCCCATTCTCTTGTGTACCCTGGTTCGATTCCCGGAGTTGCCACCTCTTTTCTACCTGTAAAAAATCCGGTAATAATCACCCAAACCAACAGACATTTCCACTTTTATTTTTTATTGGGAGACTAAGCAAGCCAACCTCGTCACGCAGGCCAAACTAGTCAACTGAACATCATACAGTACTCTCTATGCTCCCAATAAGACAACTTTGCTAGTCCCATACCTGAGTGACAACACCAGACATGATGATTGGAGGTGCTGATGGTCAGGTACCTATTGAACCCACAGGTGGATCTCGTAGTACACGGATGATCTCTCTCCCACTGGACCTCACACTGGACCCTGCCCAGCTGCCACCACCCCCCCTCTATGACCCAATCGTCGTCCTAGCATCGACTCCCAATCTGCTGGCCCGCTCCCCCTACAACCTAGAAGGAGAGCAAAGCGTGGAGCGAATGAGGGAGGGAGGGCTCGGCTGCAAAGACGCATCACTCAAACAGAAGAATCTTTGGAGATACCCAAAGACAACACTGACTGTCGAGCAGTTAGGAATATGTGTGTGGGTAGTGACAGGAATATCAACATTTAAGCATGACACCGTGTGTAGCAATAGCAAACATAATACGCTATCTCACTTCTCATGCAGGGAATGGGTGTGCTGTGGATGAATCGAGTGTTCAACCACACTCACCATGTGGTGCAGCTGATTGGCGTTGGATCTGTGTCACTCGTATCCCCACAACCGATACGGGACCGACTGTTTTCACAGGGCTCTCCTCTCCCCCTCCCGCCCTCCCCCCCCTCCTCGCACCGCCCTGAGTCCTAACTCCTAACCCCTCAACTACCATCCACAGCTCTCTCAATCTCCCTCTCAATCCCTCTAGCATTCGACTCTGCTCCTCCATCAAGAGCCTCGTCGATCCACCGATCTTCCACCTGCGTCGTTCCTCTCCCAACTCCTCATCTCCCTCACCGTTCTCTCTCTCACGGCCGCGACCAGACGTCTTGCACAACTACCAAACTCCTCCCGCTGCTCGTACACCATTATCACTTCGCGAGCTCCTCAAACTGCCGCTTATTGCGTGAGCCTCGAACCTTTTCCTACCAGTAACACAGAGGGTTCCTTTCTTTACAAAAGGGTCCACTTTTTCAATCGAGGAGTGATCAAGACCTCATTTTTTGAACAGTTTTTCCCTCGAGACCTTTCTTTGACAGTTCTTCCGTTAGTTCGTTGGGCACAGATTTCTCTCCTTCCCCAATATCTGTTCATGGAGCCTCCAACCACTGTTCTGAAGCGAGGACAGTTTCTTAGCTGAGCGAGGCTGTTTTCGCGATGCACTTCCCTCTTTGTCTGTTTTTCTCTCTCCAACGCTCCGTCCACCTCGCAGTGAGTCTTGTCAGGAGACGATCCTCTTTTTTTTTGTTCGGCGAGGGCCGACTCCAGCTGGCAGGCATGGGTCTTGAGGGCCTCTGGGTGACCAAAATTCCAAGCCAGCCGCCTCGCCACTTGCTCCACTCCAGCGAAAGCGTCTGGTTCTCTTTTCTTCTCGTAGCTCCTTCTTCTCTTCTCCTCTGCGTTCTGTTTCAGACGGAGAGCCACCATTCACTCGCTTCGCTATCCACTCCCCCTCTCTGCGTCGATTCATGTGCCAGTGTTCCCCTCATCTCCCCGGACCTCTTGCCCCGCGCAACAGTCACACTGTTGCGTAGCCTGCCTCCAGCTCCATTCTGAGCCCGTTTCTGAGCCCCGTCGCCCCTCTTGCGTTTTCCGCCTCTCTCCCTCCCCCTCCTCTCCCTCCCCACCTTCCCTCTTCGCTCGGCCTTCGTCCAACTACACTCTCCCACTCACTCTTCATATGAGCCTTCATTGCGACAATTCGCCGCAGTCTCTCGGACGAGGCGACCACCTTCTTACGTAGCTAGACTCTGAGCTCTCGTCTGTTCTCTCCTGGCAGTAACGGATGCTCGGTCTGCCAGCTCTCGCCTTGCTTGCGCTGTAAACTCAGCCAACTCTGTCTGGTGAGTGAGCTTCACTGTCGGCCAGCTCCTTCTCAGAGAAGACCTCTCTTTCTCACGCGCCAACCTGGAGTTGCTCAGTTCACCACGAGAGTGGACGTGCTCGCTGATAGCTGGCCCTCCAGTCGGATTTGCTTTTCTGTCTGCAGTAACACCGATGTGCAGGTCTGCTCTGGAGATGGTCTCTGCTGCTCTGTCGCTCTTTACGTTCTCCAGCTTGCTCCAGTCTCGTCCCTTCGCTCTCCTGTGTCAGCCTCCTGACGGTGCCTTCTCTCTCATCAAGGACTCCCTTTTAAGAGTGTCACACTCCCTGGTGGCTGTATCTAGTTTCCTCTCCGTATCTCCGAGTCTTGTCGTGGTGTTTCTTTGTTCCGAGAGCTGCGCAACTCCAGTTCCCTTTCTTTCTCCCTCACCTCCGTCTCTCTCTCCGCCACTCTCTCTCATGCAGTAGCACCGATTCCTCAGCCTCCAGTTGCTGCTGAGATTCTTGGAGCGACTTTACTAGATACTCATTTCCACTGCTGCCGTCCCGCGAGGCTGCCAGACTGGACTCGAGACGAGCCACATTTCTCCTCTCGTCCTCCAATTCTCTCTCCACCCTCCCCTGAACCCGCCTCGACATCTCCAGCTCTTGTTTGAGGATCTGCTGCGAGTCTTTCATTCCTCTGAGTGCTCCGTCTTTCCCGACCAGTGCAGCCTCTGCCTCTCGCAGTCTCTCTTGCAAACCATTCTTCCCCCGTCTCAGTTTATCCACCTCCTCTTCCCTCGCAGCCAACTCCCTCTCCATGTCTTGTATCCTTCTCCCAGCCTCTCTCTTCGAAGTCTGAAGTAGCTGGCACTGCCCCACCAGTCCCTCCTCCCTGCTGGCTCTCTCCGTTTCTCTCGCGCGTAGTTCGTCTCTTTCAACCGTGGTCCTCCCGACCTCAGCCGAGAGTCGCTCTATCTCCTCAGCCCTCTGCTGGGCAAGCTCCTCCAACTGGGATTTCTCTGCCACTAGTCGAGCGTACGAATCCTCTCTGGAGAGAACGTCAGCTTCGATTGATTCGAGTTCGCTCACCAGTCGAGCCTTGTCCTTCAGAACACCTCTCTGTAAGTTGGTGATTTGCTGCAAGAAGGAGGCATTCTCTCTTGCTAGCTGATCCATTTTGACTGTGCTGGCGATGGACTCGGCCTTCGATGCCCGCAGCTCCTCCTGTAGTTTCAGTTTCTCCTCCAGTGTCTCCTCCAGCTGTGCCTGCATCCATCCCTTTGACTCCTCCACCGCCTGATAGCTACTCTGGAGTGACCTCAGCTGGTGTTGCGCCGCCTCCCGTGACGCCTTTTCCTCCTCAGACTCTCTCTCCGAGTCCTTGAGTTGTTCGCCAAGCTCCCTAACCTTACACTCCAGAACTGCCCCTTTCTCTTGCCCCTCCTCAACCTCTGCTTTGAGACGCTGTTCGCTAGCCTTGACTCGGTTCAGATTATCCCTCACGGCATCCAGTGTCTTCCTCTCTTCCCGCAGATCTCTCTGAAACGTTTCCAACTGTTGTCTCAGTCTGGCAGAGTCCTCTGCTGTCCTCTGATTGGGTCCAGCGGTACCAGAGCTCTTCCTCTCTCTCCGTGCCACCTCTAGTTCTGCCTCGGTGACGGCCAGTTTAGAGTTGAGTGCGGCTCTCTCTTTCAGCAGTTCACGGCATTCCTCTGTAACTGCCTCCAGCTGGCCTTCCAGGTGGGCCTTGGTGTGTAGGACCTCAGATAACTGCCGGTCAGGAGACATAGAGGATGGTGGGGGGAGAAAGGGAGATGTTCTCTGCTTGGCTGGTGAAGATTGCTGCTTGTGCGAGTCAGATCTGGGGGTCTGCTGGTACTGCCTGTGAGCTGGTCTGAGGTGTTGTGGCATTCTTGCAGGAGGTGGAGTTCCGACTGACTTTGAGTATTTTGACGGAAGTGGAGCGGTTTTTCCGGCAGGGAGAGGAGAGGAGGAGAGAGGGAGGGGAAAGGCATGGCTACTGCTGTCGTGCGTCTGTGTTTTCTCACGGTCGTGGAGGGAGGTTGAGGGAGGAGGGAGAGAGAGGGGTTCGTGTCGAAGAGCCTCCGTTATCTGCTCAATAGACACCACGGAACTCGTCTCTGCTTCTTCGAAATTGTGAAGCTCCAAAACGTCTCCTTCTCTCAGTTCAACTTGCTCAGATGGTTCGTCTCCTTCACCACCTCCTTCCTTCCCTCCGTCCTCGCCCTCCCTCTCCCCCACTCCATCGACTGATAGACCGAGCAACTCCCCGTGTGGTGCAGAGGTGGAGAGAGCAATAATGGCAGAGCCTAGCGGTGGTTTTCCCTGCACCACGTCAGCCAGTCTGTCACGGACCTCCTTTGGAGACAGAGGAGTCTCTACGTCTAGCAGCCCACCTCCAGGATTATACGGCAGTGTCTTGTTCTCCTCGCAAGTCCCATAAGACTGAGGTCGATCTCTCCATATCTTCACACCACTAGATTCATCTTGTTGGCTTTGAGTAAAGTCTGGACTATCACCATCGATGGATTCCTTCTCTATTGGAGTGACTGCATCAGATGATACTCCGTCTTTCCCATCATCTCCTGGAGTGACTGCATCAGATGATACTCTGTCTTTCCCATCATCTCCTGGAGTGATGGATTGTGCACCAGTTGACTGCGAGTTTGGGGGCGTGTCCTGTAGTTCAGGGGGTGTGGCTTCAGGGTGCATGTCCCGTTGTTCGGTGGGTGTGGCTTGTGACTCAGGGGGTGTGGCCAAGACTGAAGAGGATGTAGCTAGTGCCACGCTGGATTTCGTGACGACTTTGGTGGGATTTGGTTGTGAAGGGAGCTGGAAACTTCTGGACACCAGCGAGTGTAAGTCGGCCGACTGAGGTTTCTTGGGAGAGGGTGGAATGGAGAGACTGGGCTCAGTATAGCTGTAGAGAGGGAGGGAGGCAGGGGGAGGAGACCTCACTCCATAGGGAGAGGGTGGCAGAGGTGGGAGGTTACCGGCGCCTGCCATTGGTGTGTGGAGCCCAAACTGAAAGTTGGAGGTGGCGCTGAGGGAGGGAAGACTTGGATCGTGGCCGACTTCAGCTATGTCGTCAGCCGAGAACGACAGCAGGAGAGGGGGCGGCTCCTGCTCGTTAGGCAAGGCTGTGTCGGTATAAGAACGAAGGGGTGTTCTTTCACGAGGCTCTGTGGTTGCCATGGCGAGAGGAGAGGGGAAACGGAGGTGTGGTTCGGAGAGGGAGGTGGCTGGACGATCGGAGAAATGTCCAGAGTCTATCTCAGACAGATCCTCTGACTCAGACACAGCTGTCTTGGTGCTGGCCGCGTCACTGTAGAGGTCTACCACTAGTTCTCTTAGTCTCAGCTCCAGAGGAGTCAGCGGCTCTTCTCGTCCACCTGTGGGCGTGGCCCGACCGAGCTGACTCCGCCTACTCCTGCGGACGAGGCTCAGGAAGTCGGGAGGCGGGGGGTGAGTTGACTGCTGCTGGGAAGAAGAAGACGACTCGTCTGCGGCTGTCCCTTGCGACTGAACGCTGAACCAACTGTAAAGACTCTGCACATATTCCATACGCCGTCCGGCACGGCAGCATAATTATTATGCATTATCTGATTATGCAGCGTCAAAACACTCGATCTCGGCGCGCGCGCGCGCGCGGCCCCTGACCGGAAATTAATCACACGCTTCCGGTAGATCCGTGAACACTTGCAGCTTTACTTTGCAATGCATGAGTGTATAGGACATGTATACATGTGACTCCATAGGGCTAGTAGATGTGAAACTGCTACTGGTGACAGTCACTGGCAGTATGGAACCCCGTTTTTGTACTCTTCATGGTTGGCCTGGTAATCTGGGGTTGTGTGGGTGGAGATGAGAGGGTGTGGTCGCACATGGCCTCGGCTAGTTGCTCGGCAACATCAGTCGTTTGACTTGCTTCCAGTCGTGGCGCCATCTTGTTCCATGATCCATACACCTCCACCATACCTGAGAGTAGTACACACAAAACTATAGTGAGTGGAGGTGGAGCCCTTCTAAACCAGACACCAATGGGACACAATAAAGTGCCTATAATAGTCCTTTATGCAAGAACTGTTCTTGGGGCAGTGTCCTCGTTTCAGGGGTGTCCTTAGAGAGGGGTTCCACTATTATGTACAAATTGTGTGTCTTACCTCGTTCCATGCTGTGAGACCCTGGTTCCATTCCATGGTCCCTGGAATGGGAACCAGGTCGTGGAGGCATGGGAATGGGACTGGTGGTGAGCGAGGTGAGTTCGGGCGGCTGCTGGAAGAGGTCTGAGAGGAGTGTGTCGTGGGAGGGAGAGAGGACCGCACTCTCTCCACTCTCGGCCGATACCAGTCTGCATCACACAACAAAAGAGGGGGTGGAGTTGGGAATGAAGGGGTTAATTACCGCTGGTGGGAGGAGTCAGGACTGAGTGAGATGAGGTTGGCTGTTGCCGGGACAACAGTTCCCCCGGATTCGCTCAGTCCGGTTTGACGAGGGGAGGAGACTGGTAGCTGTAGCAGGAGGGAAAGACGATTGGATTGTAGGCAATAGGTTGGTATATACACTTTCAGTGTTTTGTAGTTAAGTTTTGGTTTTAAGGCACCCCCAAAGAACATCTTTGTGTCCAAATATGAGAGAAAATGATCACAAGTACTCTCCATTTGAGTTGAGAATGAACTCCACTCTTCTCTTGGTACTACTGTTTGCCTCGCAGAATACCCCATCTTTCTATACGTCTGCATGGTTCTCTTGTTCTGACCGTGGTATGAGAGTGGTAGGTCTTGAAGGAGAACTGAGGGCCCATCCACAGTCTTCTGGTGGGTGTGGCATGCGTCACTAGCTCCACCTCCGACAACCACTCCCCCTCTCCCCTCCCCTCCTTCTCCTCCTCCTCCCTCTCTCTCTCCCCTGCATCGCTCCCTGCAATGACATGTATGATAGGTACCATAGCTACACATTGTTTTCAGCGATATGTACATACAATAGGCAACTCGACATACATTTGTATGTAGCTCTGAGCCTATAAGACAGTGTGTATATACAGAGTATATAGACAGTGTGTATATACAGAGTATATAGACAGTGTGTACAGAGTATATAGACAGTGTGTACAGAGTATATAGACAGTGTGTACAGAGTATATAGACAGTGTGTACAGAGTATATAGACAGTGTGTATATACAGAGTATATAGACAGTGTGTACAGAGTATATAGACAGTGTGTACAGAGTATATAGACAGTGTGTACAGAGTATATAGACAGTGTGTATATACAGAGTATATAGCGCAGTAAGCCAGCAGACCTTCCGTGTGTCCATAACTCACTAGTTCTCTGAACGGCAGATGCTGATAATATTAGAGGGTTATCCTCAGGTAGCGGCAGCTTCATTGTCAGTGGGTGTGGCTTGCTGTGGGAGAACAGAGAAAACAGAACCTGTCGCTGGTTGTTTGAAATTACTGTAGGTAGGTAGTAGGCCAAATTTTCAAAGCATAGTAAAATTCTCGCTGATGATCTGCCATCTTTATTCTCTGATTAACAAAACGCATGCCAACACAGACATTAACACACATGGAAATGCTGTACCTGAGGAGCCGCCAGGAGAAGTGGGCGTGGCAGTCGATGGCGATGGGGGCGTCGTCTCCCTCCCTGGCCTCCTCGTGTGGGCGTGGCAGGAGGGAGTAGCGTGTGAGGGTCCCACTACCTCCCAGAACAAACACCGTGTACCCTGCCGACCCTGGAGACACCTCTGGAGGAGGAGAGGAGAGAATGGATCATAATAATATGAACATCATTCATGTGATATCTTGAAGGCACATAATGGCTCTCGAACCTCGCGACCTTTTTGCAATAAGGACCACAACTGCACACTGCAAGTATTGTCTGTGTGAAATCCTGGTGTACTGCTAAACTGGGAGTGTTTGGTGCCTGCTAGAGCCTCACCTGCACTGCTCCATTCTCTGGCACCACTGGTGTTCCCGGAGGACGAGGAGGGAGAGGGGGAGGAAGAGAGAGAAGACGGAGAGAAGAGAACCCTGACACACTGAGACTCCCCAGGCCATGGCTCCCCCGCTGAGGGGTGTGGCGATGAGTGGGCATGGCCACCTCCACCTGAGGCCACACCCACCGACACCTTGCTCCTTTCTGTATGGAGATAAACCAAGACACCAATTGTACTATTGTGAATTTCGTCTCCGTAGCAATAGGAGATACTTGTAGTCAAGACAACAAAGTATTCATAGTTCTCCAAAAAGGTGTTTGGAAGTACAATAAATACGTGTCAACAAGCCACAGACAACATTAAAAAACCTTGTTTGAATCACCAGTTTTCCTCCCAAAACCCTTCATACAGCACACCATCTAGTGGCTGTATACACATACCATCGGAGGAGAGGTAGGGCTGTTTGATCTGGTACAGAGCTCTCACGGTGAGCGGGAGGGAAGGGGGCGTGGTCCTTGGATTGTTCCAGCCAAGGGGGCGAGGTGAGGAGGTGAGGAGGTCCCTCTCGTGATGAGGGGGAGAGTGTGATGTGTGGGAGGTCGGGGAGGAAGACACTGTGGAGGGCGGAGGGGTCACCGCGGAATGGGAATGCGTCCTGGTTGCCACGATCTCTATTCCGGCACTGGTATGGAATCGGGACATCCTGTTCACGACCTTGTTCCGGGTGTGGGTTCGTACGTTCATCTCTCCTCCGTAAGGAGTGATGGGGAACAGGTGGGAGGTCCCGTTGAGTGTCGACACGGCAACCCAGCGACTGTCGCAGCTGACGACGATGTCGTGGACACTGGCGGATGTGGCTCCTCGGAACAGAGTGTAGAGGTGGGTGACGGCCGACTTGGAGCTCAGCCAGGGGTGGGGGACCAGTCGGAACACGTTGAACAGATGGCCCTCTGTACTGGCAGTCACCAGCAGGGTCCCACTGCGTGTGCGTGTGTGTGTTTGTGTGAACAGCGAGTTATTGATTGATCAGTGCAATGTGAGGCTAGTTGACCTGGGGTCAAAGGTCAGAGCTGCTATGTGACTCCCGTGTTCAGCAGTTGCCTGGAAATGAGCCACAACTCCGCCCACTTTCCTCCCGGCTTCGTGGAGCCTCAACTAAAGAGAGGGAGAAACAGACAGACAGAGACAGTGATAGCGACAGAGAGAGAGAGAGACCACACCTCCTCGGGATGATCATAGGAGGTGTCCAATACAGTCACCACGTTTGCTGTCAGGTGCTCCGCCGTCTGCTGGAGTGGAATGGAAACATGGGTGTATGGGAATGGGCCAGCTAACCAGGGGAGGAGAGTCCGATGGGTCAGGGTTCGACTGAACCATTCCTGTCAGTCCAGAGATTGTGTCGCCTACAGCAATACACACACACACTGTACGGTACTGTAGCAAGGCCACTACATGATGATGATGATGTGCATTGGATTTCTTCAAGTGTACTTACAGTGTTTGTAAGCCCAGGATGTAATATACTATGAAAGGCAATGCGAAATGATTTGTGAGATGAGAGCTCACTGATAGCAGAGAGGCCTTTCCTGACGTTCTTGATGACGGTAGTAGTGACAGATGGTAACTGAGTGAGACACACCCCTCCTCTACTGCTGTATCTGGCACTCAGCTGCAGTAGAGAGGAGAGGGGAGAGGCAGGGAGAGGAGTGACGACATGAGAGGGCAAGGAGAAGAAGATAGAGTGTGCGAGGACAGAAGAAAGAGAAGAGAGAGCAATGTACACGTAAAACATGGGGAGAGGGTAGTGAAAGGACTTGCTACATTATTGTGAGGAGAAAGAGAGAAGAGATAAAAAGATAGAGAAGCAATAGAAGAAGGTGTGACCTTACCTTTGTCTCGGTGAGGGCCAGCCATCGAGAGCCCAGCGCCACTGGATTCACCACATGCTCCAGGGGATAGTCATCTGTAGGAGTTGGTATGTAGGGAGACATCACTGAGTGTAGTGGTGACTTCTTGCGTGGTGAGTTAGAGAATAATATAGTACTGCGATGCGTCCTAATGGCCCAGTAATACACTGCAGCCAGCCAAAATACACACTCTAAGATGCAATAGAAGCCTCATGTGTAAGTCTTTCAATCACCCTCATGCAGTATGTACATACATACAAGTGACTGTGGAAAACGAGTGATGTAAAGATGCAAGTAAATGCTAATAGGCTTGAGCCAAGACTCAACCCTCATGAGAGGTGGCTGATGAGGGATTTCTTGGCTGTTCAATATCGATGGAATGTGCAAAACATTTGTGGACGTACCAATATGCATACCACTTGCAAATGTACTGAAATGTAATGCAATTTGATAGGGTTTTTTAACAGTTGAGTCAGCAAATCTGGTTAATATTCCTTTCCTCCATGTAGGAGTATATAGTACATATGTAACTCACTCCTGACATAAAACCTCACGGCCAGAGAAGAGGAGTCAATGACCAACACCCTCCTCCTGAATACTACCGCCAACACCCTCTGGTTGCTATGGAGACCCAGGATAGGCTTTCCCTTGAACTGGAATTTCTTGACGAGGGTGTCGGCATCGGTTGCCGATAGCGACAGCAGTTGTAAGGTGGAGTAGGGCACAATGCCTCCTCCCAACCTGCACACACACACACACACACACAATACAACACAAACAGAAAGACAATCACAAACACAAGGTTTCAAACCGCAGGAAAAGAGCTCCCCACCTTCCTTTCTTGACGACAGCCAGAATTGGTCTGAGGTGAGCAAACTGATCAGACCCCTGGAGACAGGGGTCAGGGGTCGGGACCAGACGAGCCGTCCGAGCTGTTTCTCCATCGCCATAGCAACAGTAAACCTCCCTGGCATCCCCAGCCGGCTGCAGCAGTAGAGAGAGAGAACATTCAGTGTCGCGGTCAGGTTCCATTCCAACTCACGGGAATGTGCCAGACTGAGAAGCCAGAAGCCACGCCCACAATCAGCAGGAGAGGGTCTTGTCTTGCGTCAGGTACACCTCTCCCCTCCCCTCCTCCTCCTCCTCCGATTGTGCACCTCCCTGGCTCTGCTGAGGAAACACTCACAGTCATAAAGGGGAACGGAGAGAGAGAGAGAGAGAGAGAGGTGTACCGTTGAGAGGTGCGGTCTCAAAATGAGCCCACAAGACCTTCCCCTTCTTCTCGACCTTTGCCCCTGTCACTGCCTGGACAGACACAGTGTGTATAGCTACATCAGCTACAGAGTGGATAGAGGTGCAGTAAGTATATACCTGAGGGACGTAGTCCTGTATAAACCCTAAGACGTTCTGGACCGTGCTGCTGTCGCTGCATAGGAAAGAGAGAGAGACGAGGTGGGTGTGGCGAGGAACGACGGGCGTTTAGTCTCTCTCACCTCGCAGGCTCGTGGCTGACAATATTGCCATGTCTGGCGGCCACCCTTCTTCCCCGCTCTCCCTCTACTGACATACTTAATTCTCCCTAAAACTGCCTCCTAGTCTACCTGCATTCGTTGCGCTGTCTGTCTTCACTGGAATTGCCCGTAGATCGAGGGTTAACACAAAGGTCAAAGGTCGGCGGACAGACCGTCTTTATTCCGAACGGTTCGGTATGAGGACGGCTAGCCAGTGAACCCTCTCAGAATGGTACAGGAGGTGCAGAGGAAGGAGGAGGAAGGGGCCGTGGAGGGGAGGGAGAAATGGCGGCAGAACATCTCATCTTTGAGTGTACTGACAGTGGCAGTGCTGGTGGGGCTGCCTCTCTGGTGGAAGACGACAGAAGTCTATCGCTCACCTCTTCCCTACTCTGACATTCAGAACCTGGCAGGACAACAGGTCTAGCTGTCAGCAGCAGGCACTTTTGTATGCACCAGTTACTAAGAAATTTGTAGTCGAGACCTTTTCTGAGACGGAAACACTACTGTTTCATGATTTTCCGACCGTCCCTCTCTTTGGTATTGCAGGCTCCACCATCACTGGTGTACACGATATCGGTGCTGGTACTGACTGAGGAGGAGACAATGGCCGCCTCTTTCCTCTCCAACCTCCAGACAGAGCTGGCCAACCACACAGGTGGGTGGGTCGTCTTCCTCCAATAGTGAATCTCAGTGAGTGTGGGTGTGGTCCTCCGTTCTGCAGTGAGGGCAGGAGAGGCTGAGGTAACGCTGGCTTTCCTCGTACAACCTCTGGAACTGGGTGTGTCTACTACAAGATATATACCACTTCTCTTATAATTCTTGATAGATTTACACCCTCTCCATATTCCCCCCACAATAATGTAGAATGTCATCCACACATGAGGAATTCTTTCTCCCTTCGCCTTTCCTCCACAAATATCAAAGAAAAATAGAATAGCTCTAAATACTTTCCAGATAGTTAGGTTTTTCAAATCAAATTCAGAGCACCCACGATAGGTTCATGCTCTTGACTCCGCTATAGTGTTGCTGTGCTCACCAAAACGATGAAGTTTGATACTACGAGTTGCTGTTTCTCTATGTCTCTCTCTCTGTAATGAAACAGATGCTGAGGTGATAGAGAAAGTCAACGAAGCCGTCAGTTCAGCTGGCGGCACAGGTAACTGTGTAAACATATTCATGACCCAATTGTTTGCAAACTTGCCAAACCACAACTGTTTCCTACGCCTCGTTTCAACTCGATAAATACTGCGATAGAGCTGTTGTGGTTGGGAGCTCTGCGAAGTACCGGTGTTTGCGGAGCTCCCCAGATCGGCGGGCGGCGCTGCTCCTGGAGTGGGCTCACATCTTGCAGCGGCTCATCTGCCTTCAGTCAGAACTCCGGCCAAAGACTGATCTGAGGTGTAGATGTTTCGCTGCTTGACGTGCCCCACTCCCTGAGCGTGTCGCCCGTTGGTCCGCTTTTTTGTTTCAACTTAGTGCCTTACTGTAGTGCAGTCACTACAATCATGTTCTTGCTGTGGTGTTTTTATAGAGCAATGTGTGACAGTAACAATTAGAAGTTGCTTTTGCTTTGGTAGTGTACTACTGTCAGTATTACCAGACTTGGAAATTTTTTGAGCATGTTAATGAATACAATTACAGGGTATTCTGCTACCACAATGGTTCTGGTAGTATGGCATAACTCACTAAATATGCTGAACTCCCTCATGTTAGTGGAGCCTGTCTGGGCCCCATCTTGGAGTTGGGTACTTATGGTGTCCAACTCTGAGTTTTTTCTTATTCAGCAATTGGGTTGTGGGTAGGAACAAGTTCCCAGAATGTTTTTTGCAAACAGTAAGGCTGGAGTTTTTAGGGACTGTGAGATAGGAACACACACTACAGACCATTCATCAGTTATCCTTTTCTCTCAGGTGTACCGTCGTTAACAACTCATGTTCTTGCTGTGGTGTTTTTATAGAGAAATGTGTGAAAGTAACAATTAGAAGTTGCTTTTGTAGCTCAGTTTTTGGTAAGATAAATGAAAGGTGCATTCTGGGTCTACCTACTATATACCGTCAGTTACCAAAGACTTGGGATTTTGAGCATGTAAATGAATACAATTACAGGGTATTCTGCTACCACAATGTTTCTGGTAGTATGGCATAACTCACTAAATACTCTGAGCTCCCCTCACGTTAGTGGAGCCTCCCTGCTTCCTGTCCTGGTTGGGGGGTGGCTCCAATCTCCAGTTGAGCACAGGGACTACCACTACCCTGGAGTTTGTGTGCCCAACTGGAGACTTTTTTTCAAAATGAGTTGTGGGTAGGAACAAGTTCTCAGAATGCTTTTTGCAAAACAGTAAGGTTGGAGTTTTTAGGGACTGTGGGATAGGAACACACACTACAGACCATTCATCAGTTATCCTTTTCTCTCAGGTGTACCGGCGTTAACAACCCTCCTCCCGGCGTCTGCCCCTGGTCATTACTCCCTCTTGATTGCCGTGGGAGACAAGCCCCGCCCCTCGAGAGTAATTATCGGTGCTGAGCGATGGGCATTCATCCATACAACAAGTGAGCTACAAAGAATGGTGACTGGTGTTAATGGTGACTGGTGCTAATGGTGACTGGTGTTAATGGTGTGTATGTATGTAGTTGGCTCGGTACAAGAAGCAGTGACGGCAGTAAAGTCAATGGTAGTTGACGAACATCAACTGAAGTGGAGACTTGAGGATGGGCGGGGCAAGGGGCGGAGTCAGGGGAGAGGGAGCAGGGACACTGAGGAAATGCGGCAGGTCCGAGCAGCTCAAGGTGAGGCTACCCTTACCAGAGAGGAGACGACTGAGTGTGTTTCCCAGGTTACCAGGTGTGTCTCACTCTCGTGGCCCCTGATTCCTCACTGGCCACTGTGGACTGGAACATCGAGGACGCCACTGACAGTATGTGTGAATACCTCACGTCAAAACTCCAAATAATGATGCTATTCAAAAGATCATGGTGTTGACTAGTCTACGTTCACATGTGTCTTAGTTGCTCGTTCCTTATTCCGCATGATTTTTACTGTAGCATCTCGACTGATTGGTTCTTTAGGTCTGGGGCTGTATTTATGTGAACAGAAACACTAAAATGAATTTCTCTCTCTCACTGATATATTATTATACGTCTGGTCCAACGTACAGGAGTGCTGATGCCATTTCTGAACCATCCTGGGATAGCAAGACTGGCCAACTTCACCATCAGCTCTCAGGTATTCCAGTCTCTCTCTCTCTCTCTCTCTCTCACTCTCCTCATCCAGGTGTTCCACTATACTGACCTCAAGTTCTCTCCTCAGAGGTCAAAGTCCGGAGGCTACTACGTTTCATCCACAAGCCTGCCTCCAATGATCAGCAGTGTGGAATCAAAACTTGGTCAGTTTGCCCAGCGTATCATAATATAGTTGAGTTGGGAGTGTGAAGAGTAATAGGAACGTGTCCTATTGTCATAAGATTTCCTGTCACAAACTTTCTTATCTTATGTCCACAAACAAACCTTGTTGAGTTGAGTTGACTGTTCAACTGGTTAACCTAATTTTGTTTGCTAATGTGGTCTCCATGACGTCGTCTCCGATGATGTTCTCAGGGTCTCTGGTATCGCAGCTGCCAAGCCTCAACTTCCTAGTCCTGGTGGCCCCGCCCACCCACTCCCCTCTCCTCATACGAGACCCGCGAGGAGCTCTCACTGACAATTTCCTAGTTCCCCAGTGGGGAGGGGTCGTGATTTTCAGCCCCCCGGGGGAAGAGGAGGGTGGGGAGGAGATAGTGGTGAGGATGGAGAAGGTGATGAGTGTATTTGTGAGGCAACTCCAGCTGCTACTGGGGGTGCCTATTACATCATCGACCAGTCCCGGTGTGGTACTGGAACGTGGGACTCTGGGAATGACAGAATGGGTATGAGACCCAGTATAATTTGATGATGTGATTGTGATGATGTAATGGTTTTGCATTACCAATAATATTATGATGATGTGTAGCAATTGGACCAGCTAATGGTGGGCAGGATGGTAGAGTCTGTCTCCACGGCAACCACGGCTCTAATCTCATTGGTGGAGCTGCTGGACAAGGTGAAGAACATGGTAATCAGCGATGTCATTCAGAAAGAGGTGATAGCTTCATTGGGGCAGCTGCAGGAGGTGAGGTCACACGTAATTACACTATCCAGTAATGTTGTTACACTTTTAGTTTAAAAAAGTAAGAAGAATTGAGGCTCTCTCTCTCTCTCTACTCTGTGTCTCAGTGCTACAGACTGGCAGGAGATGGGGAACTGGAGGCTGCTCTCACTCTCTCCCAGAGAGCCATGGTGTCGGCAGGTACACGACCTCTCACCCTCACTCATCTTCTAGTTCCTCACTCTAGTCCTCCTCCACACACAGAGACTGCGTTCTTTGACCCTTCAATCCTGGAGCTCCTCTACTTCCCTGACGACCAAAAGTAAGACTTCCAGCCTGTCTAATACCCCAGGAGCCTTTTCCAATGGGACAGAAGACAGTTTAGTGAGGTGTCCTTACTTCAGGGGTGCAACAACTGTTGTCTGTTGTTGGCAAAAGAAAATTGTGTCCTTTTTAGAGTGTCCATATTTCCGGGGTGTCATTATGCAATTGTCTCATCTCCCCCATCCACAGGTTTGCCATCTATATCCCTCTCTTCCTCCCCATCAGTATCCCGATAGTTCTATCGTCTGTCACTGCCTTCCGCTGGCTCACTTCATCTTCCTCCTCCAGACACTCTCTGAGAACCAGTAACTAGACCAAACTTCACTGTCCAGTCACTCAGTATTGGTCTCTTTTGTTGTTAACACATCATACTACTGTATTATAGTGTGAGAGTGGTAAGTACAGCAGACCGCTAGAAATTCAATTATATATAGCATTTGGTGCACAGGTTTTCATATTACCTATTCACATAATACACTATTATATACAAACACAACATTCAGTATTAGTTAGTGTGTGGTGAGTTAGACAGTGCAGAGTGCAGTCAGCAGACAGTGCAGTCAGCAGACAGTGCAGAGTGCAGTCAGTGCGTCAAAGAATTTCCCACGATCTTCCATCTGCATTTCAAACACTGGACAGGGAGGGAGAGAGGATGAGAGACAAGAGGGAGAAGGAAGAAGAGTGAGAGGAGGGAGAAGGAGGGCGGGCGGCTTACCACAGTTGTCGAAACAGTCAAAAGAAGCGTTGGCCTGCGTTCTGTCAGCTGCTTGTGTGAAGGCTTTTCTGAATTCACTGCACACAGCAATGGAGCTCAGATAATAATTGTGAGTGTGGTGGTATACAGTATTACCTCCTGCGAGTTTCCTCTGTTTGACAAGGAACTCCTGCCACAAGACATGTCCCTATTGCACCATCAGGTCAGAGGAGGTGTGTGTGAGGAGGAGGAGAGAGGAGATAGGAGAGAGGAGAGAGGAGATAGGAGAGAGGGGATAGGAGAGAGAGAGAGAGAGTGAGTGAGTCAGGTTATATACCTTTCTCTAGGTCCACAGGAGCTGAGAGAATGAAAGGATAGTCACGAGCTCTCTTGTTCTGTAGAGTGAGGAAAGGGAGGAGGTGAGAGACGAGGTGAGGAGGGGAAGGTCTTACAGAGCTGATCCATGCCTCCCTCAGAAACCTCGCCAGTTTACACAAGGTCAAAGGTCGACTGAAATACTTCATGTTAGGCGTTCCCTACAGAAACACCACGCCCATGACCACACCCACTAGATTGCGACACCCACCTCCTCGACGTAGGCGTAGACGAAGGGACCGGTGCAGACCACCTGGTGGGTATCAATGAAGTTCCTAACATGAGTCTTGATTGCCGCTTGCTGCAAGTAATGACAATGAAATGATGATGAGTAATAATTATGATTTCAACCAGTCAGCTGTGGTGAAAAAGTACAGACTCACCTGTAGTTTGGCAGTCTCAATGCCAGCCAGTATCTTGGTCACATTAGACCTGCAGGATATTCATAGACGAGTATATATAGTAGTCTAGGGGAGAGGGGAGAGGGGAGAGCATCGAGCCTCTCATACTGCTCACCAGGAGAGAGCATCTAGAGCCTGCAGGAATGCCTCCTCTGTCGACTTCTCCTGTGTACCAGAGTAGGGTTTGTGTACATTGCTACAGAGTAACAGTGATGTGGGAGAATGTGGGAGAATGTGGGAGTACTAGCATGTCACAGGTTCAGTGCTAGGGTGCAACGAGATGACATTCTCTCTTCAATTACTAGTTGTTGGTTGGTGGCCACTCACTGGGTTCTCTATGAGAGCTGTAGTGCTGAGTAGCATGTCTGCTGCTGACAGCTGGAAAAGGAGGGAGATCCACACCTGGGGCTAGTGAATTCAATGATACCTTGATCTTGTAGCCAATCTGTGCACTGAATGAGCCATAGGCCATGTTGTCAAGTCTGCAGGGGGAGAGAGAGAGGGAGCTAGCAGTCAAGGAAGAGAGGGACAAAACAGAGAGACAGGAAAGAAACTAAGAGCAGAAGTACAGACCAAACTTGGCAGCAGAGCGATCAATCCATGATCTGAAGTTCTCCCTGAACTGGACGTCCATCGCTGAAAACCTTTGCTTACATTGAACCAGAGGAAGACTGGGGTGGGTGGAGTAAGGGGGTAATATTGGCTCGTTACTCCAGGAGTTTACCCCATGTCTGCCAGAAACTCCAGAAGATTCTTGTGTCCCTTCAATGACCACACCTTGAACCTGGTGTGTGTGTGTGTGATGTGAGCGGAGGAGAGAGGGAGGGTGTGAGTGGTGAGGGGGAGGTAGGAGCGAAGAAGGAAGACCGACTTGCAGGCTGTGTAGCAAGAGTTGCACAGACTGTCGTAGATGGTCCAGTGCCGGTACAGGTCCAGTCTCAATCTGGTTCAAGTTCAGGACACATTCAAACTTGTCCTGATAAGCTGGAAATGTTAAAATTATGGATACTCTTCCACAAAGTTGATCTTCATAGTGTTGATTGCAGACACAGTCTCCTCCTCGCTGCACGGGAGATCACACGAGGTCACATGATCCAGGATGACATCATAATGACATCACCTCCTGTTCAGTCGCAGTACATGTGGTTGCATGCGGTGCATCTCCGTCACGTACATCTCCCTGCAGCAGAGGAGCCATCATTAATGCCCCCATACATCTCTCCTTTACACAATTTTTGACTGTTTTTGTGGAAAATGTCTGAAGTAGGCTACAAATTGCAAAAATTTTTTACGTCAAACTTCAAAAATATTCGCTGATCTGCGAAAACTATGTGTAGCAGTAGACGTAATACCTGTCAGTCTTCTCATGTAGCAGCTGTTCAGTGAGTCCAGTGATTGCTAGCCTGCAGACAGGAGAGAGAGAGAGAGAGAAGGGGTGAACGATGTGTTGTGGGTATGTCCCTACCACAACAGCTCGTTATTGTCTCTGGTCAATCTCCAGGCCAGCTCATAGAGCACCAGTGATGCCTGCAGGTTATGGTGGAATAATAATACAATAGTTGGTGGCATCTGGTCTGCATCAAATATCTGGCAACCAAAAGGAATTAACATAATGCGAAATCAACACAATAATAACTGAACCTTGAACCTGTAGAGGTACACATGCTGTAACATGCTGTAACATGCTGTAACATGCTGTATAGTAACTATATAGTCACAAATCAATGTGTTTAGCACCAACAAGAGATGAAGGATGTGCAATCTCACCGCAGTACTGTGGTAGTTGAACTCGCTGTACTTGTACAATATCTCCTCCCTGATAGAGAGGGGGCCACAGCCTAGAGGAAAATGTTATGAACACCTCCACTAGTCACCTCTTTCTTCTCCAGAGGTGTCTTTTCCGCCTTGCCTCGTACGATGCCTGAGGAGAGAGAGAGAGAGTGTGTGTGTGTGTAGTGGCAGTGGGGGTGGGGGTGGCTTCACCTCCCCCTCTCTCCTCCTCCTCTTCCCTCCAGTGACACTATCTTCAACCTCCTCGTCACTAAAGAACTCCTCCCCTTCCTCCTCCCCGTCCTCCTCCGCCTGCTGTGTTCAGATCCTCTCTGACTGCACGTAGCATGTAGCAGGTCTCACTCACCTGGTCTGAATCATAGATGTCATCGAAATCTGGTATCTCAAGAACTTCTCCCTCCCTCAGTACAATATGGACCTGCAGCAAATGGAATATTATCTCAAAATGGCTATAATTATACTGGTGCAAATTTATCGCCACCTGAGAGAAGTGCTTTTATTACATAATAATTGTCTATATTTAGTAGCTATGATGTCACTGGTAAAAGAAGTTGCTGTACCTGGCCTTTGTTGTAGACATTGTCTAGTTCAAGAGGTCTGACACTGCAGAGAGAGAAGGTTGGGGGGAGAAGGGGAGGGAGAGGGAGAAGATTGTATATACCTGTCCACCACAAAGATGCAGATGTGTTCCTCCGGCTGCAGTAGCTCAATCAGTTTGGCTCCACCTCCACAGTTGATCAGCACCACACTCCTGACCTATACAGACAGAGTCGCAAGAGAGACGAGTCACCAGAGAAGAGAGGATACTACCTTGTCGTGGTGGGTAGTGAAGGCAGTCTTCAGTTGAGAGATCCCAGACACACATACCACAGTGTATTGTGTGTTGTCTGCCTTGAAGAGAGTCTGCAGGATCTTGCAGGCACACAGGGAGTCCACGTCAGGGTACACCAGCACCAGCACGTGCTAGAGACAGATAAACGTCTACTACCACATACATTCTGTCTAGCTAGGGGTATGTCTAAAAGAGTGAGTGTATCCGTGTATAATGTGGCTATCGTACGTCAGAGCTGATTCTCTGGTAGAAGTCCTCCTTCACTCTGTCTATGACCACCATCTCTGGCGACACGGGCCGTAGCCGGCAGCTCCGGACACACAGAGACAGTCCCGTTCAAAACACCCGCGAGCCACATGCGCATGCGCAGCGCATTTAGGGAGGCGGGGCAGCGACCGAGATGGCTAGTGAAGGTGGTAGCAGTGATGTAGAGTCAGATCATGGAACCGATCTACTTACTTCTCGTCCTCGTCACTGTATGTAGGACTTTACTGAGCACTGACAGTTACAGAGAACTCTGTTTGTCTCAGCCGAGAAAGACGATGAAGAGGAGGAGCAGGAGCGAGGAGGGAATGAGAAAAGGACAGTCAGAGTTCTCCACTGTCTCCGTCGCTGGTGGAAGACGATAGTTATTCTGGGGACACCTCTCCTCCTCTCTCCCCTCCCCCTCTCCCTACATTCCACTGTCAGACAAACCCTATTCATTCACTCACTCTAGTCTCTATAATCTTTCTCTTTTTGCGGGTTAATTGGAGGAAATTTATTCAGACTTCCCTTTGCTAATAAACACCTACATCGAACTATTGCTGAGCAGTGCAATATTTCGGTAAATTATTTTTAAGCTGACTACAGTCTATTTTTTTCCAGATAGCCTCTGTATATTCAATTTCATCACCTTATATAAAATTAACACTTACAACAGAGGTAGATGAGTCCGGAGCCCAAAATTTGCCGGATATTATTCTCACATAAACATACTCTCTTCACAAGTAGAATACTATCTGTGACTGTCTCTCGTCAGGAGGCAATGGCGGCCTATGCCATAGCTATTATAGCAGTGTACTGGGTGACTGAGGCTCTACCACTGGCAGTGACGGCCCTTCTCCCCATCTGGCTGTTCCCAGCCCTCGGAGTACTCAGTGCACGCGACACAGCCAGCAACTACCTCTCCGACACAAACATGCTCTTCGTTGGAGGGCTCATGGTTGCCGTGGCGATAGAGAAATGGAACCTGCACAAGAGGATAGCTCTCCTGGTTCTGCTTGCTGTTGGCTCCAGTCCTAGATGGTCAGCTGTTGTAAACTATACCGTGGGCAGACCCCATCAGGTCGCCATGGAGGAAACTGTGTATTAATCATGTGACAGTCATGTGATTGGTTGCAGGTTGCTCCTGGGGTTCATGGGTACGACGGCATTCCTGTCAATGTGGATGAGCAACACGGCAGTTGCAGCCATGATGTTGGCCATTGCTCACGCTGTGCTTCAGGAACTGGAGGAAGACAGCTCCTCTCACAGTAATGGAGGGGGGCTCCCACAATCAGCGGTGAAGATATTGTATTCGAAGAGGTACAGTGAGGACTCGGGTGAGACCAATGAAGAGGTTTCAGTGGAGATTGGGAGAGAGGGGAGAGAGGGAGGAGAAAGAGATGAGGCGAACGCCTCACTACTAGGGTCCAGGGAGATGGAAAGTGGTGGTCAGAGAAGTGAGGGAGAGGATGATTCCTCTCTGCGGAGACTGGCCAGGGTCTTGGTGTTGGGAGTGGCGTATGCTGCCAATATTGGTGGTACAGCCACTCTCACTGGTACAGGACCTAACATTGTTCTCAGTGGACTCTCTGTCAGGTGGGCTCTGCTAGCTGCTGTCATGTCAGTGTTCGAATGGTCTCGTTTTGAAACATCTGAATAATGGACACTTGGGACCAAGTCATTCCTTTCCTTTATAGGGAAGTTGTCCTGTCTTCAGAGGGTTAAAAATTTACTAGAAAAGTTTAGGCCCTCAAAGCGTGTCCTTTATTTAGAGGTATTTTCTATTATGTCCTTTATTCAGAATGTATATAGTTTGTCGGAGGTTCTGATGGAGTGAGTGAATCCTTCTTCCTCCTCCCCAGCCTCTTCCCAGAGAGTGGAGGGATAAACTTTGGTCTTTGGTTCGTGTTTGCCACTCCAGCGATGGTCCTGACCCTCCTCCTGTCCTGGCTGTACCTCTCCCTCCTCTTCTGTGATGACAGGTGGTCTGCAGCCAGCCTGCCTGCCTCAGGCACCACTCACACTCTCCTTGAGACAATCTTCTTACACTCCCATTCACTACAATTAGCACCACATGATCTATTGGACACTGTTCTGTAAAAGGCGTAAGGGCCTCTAGATGTACCTTATAGTGCAGCCATTTGTGTAGGATTGAAAAGCCAATTGTGGACAATTGTGTAATGGTGCCAGAGGACATTAGCTAACTACTGTGTTCCAGAGCTTTGGCAATGGTGCATGAAGTTGCCCTAGGTCGTTAAAGGGAATGTGGCATGTATATAAGGTGGACTAAAGATAGCCCTAAACACTTAAGTTCCAAGCTTATGATATACTGCCACATTCCCTTTAACTGCAGCTTTGTTTGGGTGAAAAAGAAGTTGTTAAAGAGGAGGGTGAGATTTCAGAGTGGGAGAGCAAAGAGGGTCATCAGAGAGCAGTACCGACTCCTCGGGAGGATCAAGTGAGACAGGCCCCAGCCAGCTCTAGCTACCTGAGTGGGTCTCTGGTCCCACAGGTATGCTGAGGTGGTGGTTCTGGGTCTGTTTGTCCTGCTCGCTCTGCTGTGGCTGTTCCGAGAGCCTCGGTTCATCCCAGGATGGGCCTCCGTCTTCCGCAGCAGTGGAGGGGCAAGGTAACTAGATACCCAACCTTGATCCGAATTCACTGCTCTCTCGCTCCATCTTCATATATCTCTGTTCAGTTACTTCAGTGACTCCAGCACAGCAATGTTTGTTGTCTTTCTCATGTTTATCATTCCATCGCGCCCTCCCTGCTGGGGTAAAGGTCAGATCTCCACCATCATCATCATCACACTCTCTCTGTTACGTGTATCAGTGTATCATAGTGTGGCTGATACTGGTTGAGCTTAGAAAGCTGAAGCCTCCTTAAACTTTTAGAGTTCTACATGGGAGTGGCCAACCAGTATGTAGCCATCATGCTTGATAGCAATGTGCCTCATCTGCTCATCATCTTTGTCTGTGTGTGTTCCAGGTGTATGTATGTGTGTGTGTAGGTTCTGGTGTGTCATACCAACTAAGGTAAGTGGGTGTCAGTTTATACACTTATTCAGCTGCTGTTTGTGATGTAACATCTGACAATAACACCACCGGCAGGCGGTGGTGGGAATGGGAACGGGACTCTGTTGGATTGGAACACAGTCCAGAGCAAACTGGCATGGAACGTGGTCATACTCCTGGGGGCTGGACTGGCTCTCTCAGCTGGTGCTAAGGTAGCCATAAAACACTCCTGTGATAATTTGACAGTGGAAACATTTTGACTTCCAATTTGTCAGTTTTTTTCTCGATGGTAGCTAAATGAATTTTGTGTGTGTTGTGGCTACAGGAATCAGGGCTAAGCTCGTGGGTGGGTCATCAGCTGCTATCTCTCAGGGACTTCCCCACTCCAGCCATCTCTCTCTGTATCAGTATCATCATAGCAGGGGTCACAGAGGTCATGTCCAATGTCGCTACCACCACCCTCTTCCTCCCAGTGCTGGCCCAACTGGTTACACATTATCTCTATTCTTGAACCATGAAGCAAGCTATTTCCTCTCTCACCCCTCTCTGCGCAGGCTGTTGAACTGGGGGTGAATCCTCTCTACTTCATGATCCCAGCCACTGTCTCTGCCTCATATGCCTTCATGCTCCCCGTGGCCACACCCCCCAATGCCATGGCATTCTCCTACGGCTACCTGAAGGTGTACCACATGGTAAGTCCATTGTTTCCCCCCATCGTGGCTTGGCTGGGGACAGTAACGACTTGGCCTGTTGGCACGTTTCCCTTCAGGTGCTAACTGGAGTCCTCATGAACCTCCTGGGTGTGGGGATAGTCACTCTCTTCCTCAATACCACTGGGAGACTCATCTTCCACCTTGACACCTTCCCCTCCTGGGCCACCAACATTACCTCCCCTCCTGTCTGCCTGCAATGGACAGCTCTCAACGAAACATTCTATAGCTCAGCCAACACTGGCTAGCTATATAGTGGCTAAGTTTTTGTCTTTCAAATCTCAATTCTATTCCAGTAACCTATTTAACTAGCAAGGGGAGTGATCTACACACCTTCCAGAGATTGTCTAATAACTATATATACAAAGACAGCTACATACATGAGATGATAACCAAATAGGCCAGGGGCTGGTATGATGATAATTAGCAAATGGATAGGTTGGTTGTGGGAGTAAAGGGCAGTTAGTGGTTGGGGTAATTTGGAGAGTAGCAGTGTGTGAACAGCTGCTTGGCATTTTCTGCATAATTACACTTCCTGCGGACAAAGCCACTGGACAAAGGAAGCTGTAACAACACAAATAGGTGTACACAATTAGGGGCTGTGGGCAGCTTTAGGGAGGCTCCACTGGGACTCATCAAGGGAGGCTAACAGAGAACACTAGATTTCGGGGTTGAGCTACCAGAAGTATATTTGGTGTCCTGGCCACAAGTAGGTAAAACCAGAGCAATTGTGATAAATCAGTACAATGTTGGGGGTAATGTAGAGGGAGCATAGCAACAGGCAGTTGAGAAAATCCACAGTCATCATCACCTGTTGAGAATTTACATTGGCTAATGGCAGAGATTGGGTCCACATCAGGGAACATGTACACTCAGGGCATTAAAACTGTCAGGATGTTTCTCTCATAACCGGCGCATGCAGCTCAAGCGTTTGCAGCGACCGCACGTCGTTGCAACGCATTTGCCGCAGTCTGAATGTACGTGATATCGCTCCCACGATGTCGGCTACTACAGTAGAGAAAACTCAATGTCATAATAATATAATAATACACACTATATAGCTATATCATCGGAGGTTAAACAAACACATGTGGTAAGTGTGTTTTACAGGCAGCTGTATACAGAAAACGATGACTGGTGACAAACGCTACGGAGGAGAAAGAGAGAGAGAGAGAGAGAGGGTGGTGGTGACAGCAGCAAGCCAGTGGTGGTACAAATCTAGTGGTGGGTAAGGAAGGAAGGCAGTTCTAACAGTTAATGGTGGTCTGGCGTATTAGTGAACGTTGTGATAAAAATTCTGTTTCGTGCTGAGGTCCTGCTAGCCAGCAGCCGACACACAGCACGCAGTGTCAAACAATAAATAGAGAGTTTTGCTAACATGGGATATAAAACCCAGGAAATACCTGTTTAAGTAGCAGTCTATAATATGGTTCTGAGGCTGGTGTGTGACTAGGAGGCTCAGCAGTATGGGTATCTGTTGTCTAAAGTGATGTCTGAGTGCAAGTGAGTACAACAGAGATGAGAAAATTGTCCCTACACAACAGAGAGAGAGAGAGAAGAGAAGAGGAGAGGAGGAGAGGAGGAGAGTGAAATAAGAGGGTGTGATAAACCAACTACATCTTTGTGCCGACCTACAAGTGCTGACTTGGGGTGCAGTGTTCGTTAGGGGTAATTAGGGGGGTTGGGGTTCCAACCCTGCGGAGGGTTCGTTGGCTGTTGCTGCTGGGGGTCACTGGGCGGCTGCTGCCCTTGTGGCGCCGGAGAGAAGGACTCTGCGGAGCTGGGGAAGGCAGCTGCACCAGACGCTTGTCCCGCAGAGCCACTGGATCCCTGGGCGAGGGCAGAGTAGGCCGAAGTTGCCGGGGACACGTAGCCAACAGTGTGAGGTGGGAGCCCGGAGAGGTAGGTCGGGAGTGGCTGGAGCACGGAGTACGGGAGATTCTGTCGCGACTGGAACGCCGGACTGGCACTGTAGGTGTTGCCAGGGTTGGTGGAGGGTGTGTAGGGGAAGTGGGGAGGCTGGGGGTATTGGTGAGGGAGCTGGGGGAGGCTGGGACCTCCGCTGCCTGAGCTGCCGGCCGCGGAACTGGAGATCTGGTAGGGTGGGCTGAGGTGGGCAGGGTGTCTCGCTGACAGCCCCAGAGGTGCTCTGTATGACAGAGTGCTGGTGTCTGGAGGATACAAGTGCTGGTGACCTGGGAGAGAGAAAGAGAGTAAAGAGGGAGAGTGAGGTGTCATGTTACCCAAGATTGTAGGGATCAATTACAGTTAGAGAATGTAATTTCCAATGACCTCATTCCACAAGAATTCAATTGACAATGGAGCACAAACAACAACAGAAGGTACACATCTATACCTGGCATGACGTGGGCCTGTGAGTAGAGCCCTAGATCTCTCACAAAGAAAGGGTCTGTATCTGTCGGAGGAGGGCTGGACCCCGGCCCACTTCTGCAGCAATATACACAAATAACACGTCACTCGGCGCGGCGGACACCTTCCACAATGATTATAATTAACAGCAATTAGTCGTGTGGTGGCTGAGAAGGTCCTGGCATCATGAGGAGACCAGGGGCCCAGAGAGCCAAGCCACAGAGTCCCACAAAGTCCTCTGTTGTTAGTGTCTGGCCGAATGAAAGACTAGCCACTTAGCATTTCACGGCTCCCACTAAGTGCATTCTCCAGGGGATGTAGGAGTGTATGCATGCCAAGGACGGTGGGAGTGTTGGAGGTGGTCGCAGTGTTTCAGAACATGGGTTGGACATGGAAGAGCTGTCTCCTGCTACGGAAAACCCCTTCCCTACTACGGGCCTGTCCCTGGAATCCAGGTAATTGCATACGAGGGTCCTAATGAAGTGCTGGTCTCTGAGCGAGACAATGGAAGGACACAAAATCGCATTCCTGAGGACAATGGAGCACTGGCTAATTTAATTAGGTCTGTTGTTTTACCACATGAGTTTCCGGTCTGCCTGCTAGTGTGAGGACAAGCCACCGCGGCCGCAAATCTACTCGCCACATGGCTTGCCGAGACAGACTAGGAGCCAATGGCTGCTACCCTCGGCTAGCTAGCCGTTCTCTTACCTTCTAGGTCCTGCCAGCTCACAGCCCCTGAACCCCTTGGCAAATGGGTTGTACTCTATCTTGAGTTGGGTTATCTGCAGAGGAGGGAGGGAGTTGAAATAACACAACAGCTGGGGAGAAACCACAAGTCTATCCCATAGTACTGAGAGTACTACTCTGAGATAATTAGCTTACCCCTACAATTATGACTGGCAGTTGAGAGATAATGGATATATGTAAGGCATGTCAGACAGGCAGAAGAGAAAGCTAACAGTAAAGAAGGTGGAATAAAACAAGAAAGAGAAGAAGAAAGAAGAAAGACAGAGAGACACACAAAAGGGAGAAAGAATGAGAGAAAGAATGAGAGAAAGAATGAAATAAAGGGTGGTAACAGACCTGTTGGTTCTGGTAGGCAGTGACCCCCATGAACTGAGTCTCCTCAAAGATGTGGGTGCTGAAAGAGTCGCTGCCTGCACTGCTCTGAGGAAACTCCTTCAACTGGTCTTTCTCTCCCGTTGTCTTGACTACGTGGACTCTCGGCTGGTACTTGTGCATGGAGTTTAGAATCAGCTGTAGACAGAGAGCGGGCCAGAGAGAAGAGGAGGAAGAAGGGGTGAAACGTAAGCATCGTCAGACACCAACGGCTAATGGTGAGCGATGATGATGGATGAATAAACTTCACCATGAATATACCGGCAGGTAATTATTGAATTTCTATTACAGTAGAGTTTGTTCAGAGCCCACTGCTACATAACCACGTGAGGACAAGTAGTATGAAGCTCTTTCAGTTGCAGCTAGGCAGGAAGACAGGGGGACTAGGTGGCAGGGAAAGGCATTCAGAGGGTGTAGAAGATCCAGTGTTGACCACACACAGAGAGAGCTACACACACCACATGAAAAGATTCAGTGGCTGTCAAAATGAAATTGGCCCTCCTCATAATCCCAGCTAGGGCATGCACACAGGTCCAAGTCCAGCCAATGGAGAGACTCAATACCAGGCTTGTAGGAGCAGCTCACGCCCTCCTAGATTGTGAAAATGTGATTGCTCCACTATAATATACTCACTCAACGCTACCCATAAGGTTCTAATGAGGCTGGGATCTGCAGCATATATAAGTGTAGGTGTAGGTGGGCGATGACAAGCGGCAATGCAGAGAGGATGACCAGTGTTAGTGCAAGAAGGTTGGCACTGTCAACATCCTCCAGGGAGTCTATGACATCATCTACTCTGGCTCCGCCAGTCCCTAGTGCTGGAGGCTGCACACCTTTCAAAGGACCACCCTGGTGCACACTAGTGGGCTAAATGATTACCATCTCAGTGCTACCCAGACTCCCCTTCAAAGGCCAGGCAGGCACACCCTAACCCAATCAGTGATTACAATCTGATTTATAACCAAAAGTGTCTGTACCAGACACAAGTATCTGCCTCTGGGCATTTTGTCATCTTCATACATCCAGTTGTTCCCACTGGTTTCAGTCTCACTGTATCCCAAAGATGTTCTAGGAATGACTCTAGTGCACACTCTGCTAAAAGGGACCATCTCCCCACCACTTACATGGTGGGATATTACAAAGAGCTATATACCACAAACGAAAAATAGTCAGGATTCTGACCAGTAACACAGATGAAATGAGGAAGAAGAGGAGTGTCTTACATATCCGAGCTGGTCAAGGTTGTTGTTGGTGATCTTCAACTTTTGGAAGGAGACTATCTGTTTCTCCCAGACAGCCCCAGGGGCCGGCGAGTCAGGGTGAATGTAGAGTCTCCCCGGGGAGGTCGGCTCCGCCTTCCCCGTCACCACCCACTCAGAATCGTGGAACTTGTAGCGATTGTCGGCCACTGGCACAATGTCCATCGCAATGATGTACTTCGTCTCAGGCTCTAAATTGGACACACTGATCTTGATTACCGGGAACATCCTCCTGCAGAAACACCAAATGAAAGCTCACAATTTGTTCGTTAGAAAAAGGGGGAAATAATAAAGAGTGGATGGGGTAAGGGAGGGAAGGGCTGCAGAGTATACCCTACGACAATGTGTCAGAGGAGACTACCTCACCTGCCGGCCTTGGTGATAATCATCTCAGTGGTTGACTTGTGGAACTTGGCCCACAGGTCTCTGCTGTGAAGCATGACCTTCACTCCATTTCTTGCCACGGACTCTCCCGTGCTCTTGTACGTCGTCACCATACATCCTGTTTCTGCTACCGTCTTCACCGACACTACCTCAGCTGCAGGGAGAACAGAGAAAGGAGGGTGAGAGACAGTGAAGAGAGAGAGGAGGAGGAGGAGGAGGAGGAGGAGGAGGAGGAGAGAAAGAGGCAGCGAGAAGGGGGAAGAAGGGAAGGGAGACGAAACGTGTGTCTTCAATACTCCAATACCGAGAAGCGGCACCAGTCGTCAGACTGTCAGGTACGTAGCTATGTAAAGACAAGGGCCAGGAGGAGGCAGTGTGTGTGTGTGTGTGTGGGGCCACCTGACAAGGCCCGACAAACCAACCACCGACACATCAGAGTTGTAGCGGTTATTGAGGGATGAATGGTCTGGGTTTGTAGCAAGCAACAACATTTCTGTTGTTTCTTCACTCACCAACAAAACATCAAGAGAATTATTCAGCGCCCCGGCCGCAGTCAATAGTGCCCTGTTGCCTCGGCTCCTTGGAGCCAGGCACGCACACACTCTGTGTAAACCCCAAATAAGCAATCTTCCGACAGAAGAATACACTTTCTGCAGATCACATGCCAGGCTGTTGACAGGGGACAACAGCTAGTCACTTATGGCCGTGTTCACACTGTCTCGCGGCAAGCAAGTCTCTGCACCAGGCTACACAGGAACCAACAGCCCATCAACCACCAACACACATGCTGCTCCATATAAGTGGTCTGCAACTCTAAAGCATGGGCTTTGTCTGGGCATTCAGAGGCATACATGCTTTTGTAGCAGGCTGCAATGAGCGGCCTATACTTACTCATGTGAGCACCTAATCACCGGACACGGATTGAGCGGGTTCAAAGAGGCTGTCCGTTGCAAATCACCACAGCCATCAACTTCACCAGCAATGCTCACTGGCAAATTAATGACTCAATTCTTGCTTGCCTGGAGACAAGTGAGCTGGTGCCATGGCTGCTGTGTACATGCACTCGACGAGGTCGTCGCTATTACACAACAGAGTCCTTGTATTCAATACACACTGCGAAGGGTGGACTGCAATCAAAGTTAATGTAGCTGGAGGAAAGAATATCTCCATCCTGAAAATCTACTTTCATTTTAGTAAAATGTTGAAAGTGTCTGTAGCCATGAAGTAAAGCGCTGGTGTGGATTCCTGCAGTACACACACACACACACACACACACACACACACAACAGTCTCTCTTATTCACACTGATTTCTCTCTATTTCCTAAGCGTCTATATTTCCTGCCTCTTCCCCTCAGATCTGACCGCTCTCTGTACAAGGACCAAGAGAATCCATCAACACCTAGGTGAGGGCACACCAAATACCTCTCCCGCCTTTCAGCCTCCATCAACGCATTCCTGGCGGGCCAAACACAAGGGAGGGATGGCATTTGTTCCAAGTCTGGCTAGCCGTCCCCACGCCAAGTCCATTTTTCTCTCAGAGAGAGAAAGGAGAGAGGAGTGGATTGTGTAGAGGTTGGTATTGTGTGTCTGCTATCACTAGCTGTCATCATCCTCTATAATCAAACGTGACTCAAGATCAAAGGAAGCTGAGAAGAATGGATTCCCACCATCCAGTCACACAGCCACCAGAACAACTGTACATTGAGTACAGTGTGTGCAGGCGGAGGGGAGCAGAGAGAGCTAGGAGGGACAGTCAAAGAGGCCCGGCCACACAAGGAAGGGGCCACTCAGCGCAGATGACAAAGCGAAGGAAGAGACTAGTTTACACCTGCAGTTACATAACCCGCTCCTTTTTCCGCCCACTCTCAGGAACCAGGGGTAGTCATTAGAGATGGCGTTGAAAAGTTTAAAAAGGAGGGCTGGTAGATCAAGGCGTCCAGAAAGATCCAGGAAGTCAGCAGTGGTGTCAAGGAAACATGGAGGAAGGTCAACACCAGCAGACAAGGCAGAGGCAGGCAAGGCACGCTGGGGACTAGAAGTGACAGAAACTGATGAGATCAAAGAGTACAGGTCACAAGCCGCTGATTAGTCCACCCAACACCTCCAGCACTACATACTCCCCCAACTGAGTGTCACCCACTTCCTCCGCATCCCAGGGCTCACTCTGGCCTTTGAGAAAAGTCTTTTACACCTGTTGCCGACTCAGGAATACTAAAATATACCCCTAAAATGTACAGTGGTTACTACGGTCAGATTCCTCTTTGCAAGAAGGCTGCGAGATCAAACGTTGAGCGAAAACAAGATTTGTCTGAACCCAAAAAAAAGTTAATTGCATTACTCATTGCCTTTGAGGCATTAGGGAGTAATTATTAATTGGTGACTAGAAAATCACAGTAGTGGGGGGAGAGACAGTCTACACCAGCCACCCAAGAAACACACGGCAAAGGAATAATTATAATGCAGTGTTTACTAACTGCAGCCTGGGATCAATGTCTACAGATGGCCCACTCCAGACACTGCTCAATGGATATCTCTGGCCTATCAATGAGCCCAGCAGGTGAGACTACACACCTCCAGTCAGGTTTCTTACACAAGATGTTTGAATGATGGGACCAGTTCCTAACTCTAAATTTACAAACAGACTGAAGTTACAGACACACACAGGGAGAGTGCAGATCCTGCCTCCATGCTCTAAGCTGAGTAATTTGTGTGGGAAGGCGGCAAAATTTAACTGGGCTCTTATTCATTTCAGTACATACGCTGGGCTGGGCAGGAACTATATACGGGTATTTAAGGGTGTGGCAAAGCGGGCTCCCTTATCACGCCACAACAAGAGTAGTTCAAGAGGAGGATGGAGTGATGAAACCCAGCCTCGTGGACACAACCAAAGGATCTTCAATGTCCCCTAACAGCTATATACCTAGCTACCTTACAGAATGATCACAGGTGCCCCTTGCACTCTACACGCTGACAGTGTTTTGATTACAAACAGAAAAACTGCAAGTCTCCTAGACAATACAGGCTCCAGGAAGGAGACAGACGGACACATCTGCAAGAGCCGTTTGAGCTAGGCAGCCATGCTGAGCCCAGTTTAGGACGGTACAAACCACTCAGCATGGAATACCTGAACCTCATTCCCCAATCAAGTTACAGATACACAAAATCACAAAGCTGCAAAATGTACGCAGAATTCAATTCGGGTTGCTATAACCTGCGCTCCATGAACAATAATATCAGTACATTAGCCATCCACAGTTGTGATGGGAGGGCAGGTAATTACAATATAATTACAGGGACTGACCATCTTGGTGAGAGGAGGCAATGGAGGATGCTGCCTCTTCCCCTGCGTCAGTCCCCAGTTGGGACTTGTCTGGGGAGCCGTCCGACTCTGATTTCACTTCAGCTGCAGACAGACACACACACAAACAAATCACACCTCTTTGCTGCAAACACCTCACACCATCTACCACTAGCTAGGTCATGGTAGTTGATTCTGTTACATCACACAGCTTCCTACCATAATGAAAGTCAAAATACGTCCTGTCTTGCTAGCTACAGTGGACAAGCTAGAACCATGCTCTCTCTCTCTATGTACAGCATACACCCACTCAGTCGCCATGCCACACTCGAGGGAAGCTCTGTTTCGCATCAATCAGGCCATGAATGGAGCCAAGCGAGGTGTAATATTGGAGGAGGAGAGCCGTTTTGACGCCTCGTGCGAGGTGTCAAGAGTCGCTGATAGCTAGAGCTACAGCAGAATCGCTAGCCGAACACCTACAGCTGCTGATTTCAGCTATCAGCTCTGCAGGATTACAATTGCCGTCACTGGAAATCTCGCGCCAGACGCGCTCCATAGGCTCCCCGCCCGGGCCCGTAGCGTGCAGAACTTACCTCCAGAGGGATCCATCGTGTCGTACAGTCACCATCCGTTGTCGACGTCTCTACTTCGTGCAATGACCGGAATTTCCCACTCGGCGATAGAAGGTCGCGACTTGTCTCGGAAGGTGGGGTCGGATTGGGGGCGTATATATGCCGTTCTCACCGTCACCAACTGACGCACAGTCGCCGAATGAAGCCTCGGTAGACAGACGTCGTGGTATCGAGCAGACCTGTAGCTACAACTGTTTGGACCGCTGATGCAGAGTCTCCTTTCGCGGGGAATGACGCTTATTCAAACCCCAGTAACTTTGACCGGCGAGGAAATGCTAGCCAATTAGCATCAGAGGGTGTGAACCTGGATTAGCTATTAATAGTGGGAGCGCCCTACTGCACAATATCTCGCACCTCCAACAGCTTATAAACCTCGCGCCGCTGTACCCCGACAGCCCAGCGTCGTGATTCCATTGAAGGCAGCGAAAGATGACTGATCAAAACTTGTACTGGACAAGTCAACATTTGTTCGACCCGCCCACTGAAAATTTTTAATCAGCACATTTTTTTGATCATCTATCTCTCTAGGTTCAGTGCCACCTTTCCCATCCTCCAGACAAAACAATTGAATCTACCACTTATAACATTAGCATGTTCATGCTATATACAAGCTCCAAGAGTTTTGCAACGCAAAAAGAATCTTCACTTGTCAAAAAACACCATGCTGGACTGGATAGCCAATAAATCTTGCGCAGACAAACGTGATGAGAGATTGTCATGCATGTTGGGGAAATGTTGGTGGGGCAGGGACACAGCTATGCAGCTATGCAGCCATTCTGGCGGCCCATTCAAGTGGCAGCAGTCAAGGAAGGAAGAAGGAACATGTGTCCTCACACCTTAGCTCAATGCCAGTCCAGACCCTGCCAATCATCACCTTCCTTCTCCTGCCTTTGACATAAGAAACTACAACATGAGATCACACCAGGTGAAAGCTGCCACACTTAAAACCACATAATAGCTGCAAATATGCAGGGCTATAAGCAAACTGTTGAAACATTCCGAGAAGAAATAAGTACATGGCTGAGCATGCTGTGTGATATATTGGGCAACAGAGGACTTTGGCAGCTCAATCTTTCATGGCATTCAGGCAAGCAATAGACGCAGCTTGTCGTGGGTCCTAGATCATTTCTTTCACAGCACAGCATACAGCAAAGAGCGAGGAATTAATAATGAATAAACACACGGCGACAGGACACGACAGCCACGGGTCACTAAACTGTCGTCTCCTTGCTCTCTCTTCTGTGCGACAACTTTGGGCTCAGTTTTCGTGCAGAGAGTGACCCACTCCGTGTCTTTCTTCTCCTCCCCTCTGGCCTCTGGTTTCCTGGCAGAGCGAAGCAGGTGTGTTTGCCCAGCAGTGGTATGACACTGGACAGGGCGGGGCGTTGGCCTTGTTTCACGAGTTCCTGCACATGCTCCACATAGCCTCCTATCACCTGTGGACAGACATAGAGTCGGTGGGGATATACAGGACACAGGGCAAGACTGTTACCTGGCAATCCTCAGCCTCTTTTCTGTTGGTTTTTCTGCAGAGAATGTAGATCTGATCTCTCTGGAGTCCCAGCTCTGTGAAGACAGACAGGTGGCGGTGGGAGCCATAGGCCGTCTGGATTATCATCTTTGCCTGTGTGTGTGTGCGTGTGCGTGTGATGAAAACTGACTCATACTGTGTTGCAGGTTGATGAAACTACCTGCCAATAATCAGAATCCCAAAGACTCTGGTAGCATTCCAGGAGAGAAACAAACTAGCCGTGGTTACACTATATTTACACTGTGGGTGAACAGCAAGCGCAACACCTTTACTTTCAATGTGGCAAAGTACACAGAAAGCACATGGCAGCATGCTTTGAGTCTGTCCACTTGTTTTACTGAAATTAGACGTGTTTTGATAACTCTGCTGGGAATGCATAATAATATAGTTGTCAGTTTTAGCTATGGGTGATATCAATTTTAGCCGACCCATTCTCTAGCCTATAGTGTCAATCCAACACAAACTCTCTATCAAACCCACCACTGAGAATTCACTGTGCCATGATAGAACTATTGTCTCTGGAAGTGCTATAAAACACAACCAAACTTATCAACATAAGTGAAGAATTATTTGAGAACATCAGCATGCATATTCTCAAAGGCAATAGAGTTTAGCAACATGAGCAGCTATTATCACCGGCCTTGTTCCCAGACCCCCACCCACCAACTGAATCTACCAACGCCTGCCAACAAGAACTGCCGAACAACTGCTTAGTTAGGTGAGCTGTGAGTAGTTACTGTATCGATTGCCACCTCAGTTACCTTACAAGCAAACAGGACACACCAGACTGCCTAGTGTGGGCAGCAGATAATCTTCCATATCTAGTTAATCAATCCACTCCATCAAAAAGCCAAACATTGTTATGCAATATCCATGAAGGTTCTCCTTTGAAGTGTCCGGCCTACACAGCCGCATTGAACCTATCTCAAACTAACACACACACACACATCGGGCAATTCCCATTACAGCTATACACCAAAGACCATAGTAAGTGCCGCCAGCATTCTCAAAGTAAAGGGAAAATGCTCTTGGCAACCACTGTATTAGGATGTTCCACTGGGAATAATAGACTGGTGGTTGTGAGAGAACATTAGAGAGACAAGCAGGGACAGATTATATTGATACAGACAGAGATGCTGGTACACAGTGTGGCGAACACACACACACACACATCAGAGCCTTTTCTGAGGACCAGGGACTCTACTAGGTCATTGACACTGCAAACAGAGCGTTGTCTGTGTCCTCATGGGTTGTCCACATCGGTAATGGAGTCAGCACACCCCGAGAGCGGAGCGTTGTCTGTGCTCATGGGATGTCGTTCCACAGAGACTCTCTATTTGTAGTGGAGTCTCGGTGCAGCCCCAGCTCATCTTCTCTTTCCTTCCTCTTACTCCCAAGCCCTAGCCACTCTGCAAGCTGCTTGCCTCAGGCAAAGATCAAGAGTTGCCGCAGACTGGCTGGGGTAGTCCCTCCCACACACATCCACAGTAACTACCAGTCATGGAGCCAGCTACACTTCTCTCAGTCTCCAGGAAACCAACCGAGATTATTGGATAGCCTTCATTGCTAAGCCCCAGTTACAGTCTCTATGGATACCCTAACTGGGTGGATATCCTAATTGTCATTAATGAAATTTGATCATCCTACAGAGGTTTGAACTGTGGACCATTAGCATAGAGCGCCTCCAGGCATACCCAGAGCCCTGCGGCTATATAGGACCTAGTGCACACTATTAGCAAACAGACTGGAGCTGTCTGTGTAGTGTAGGAGGAGACCTCCCATTTCCATGTTCAATGTCTGCTGAACTACGCAGCTTGAGGCCTAGCAGGCACCCACGTTTGCCATACATTGAAAAGACGTGTGCATCGCATTTGCACCTGATTAGAGGGGGCGACCCCTCATTACCTCTTTAATGAGTCTGGCGAGATAGAGTGTCTTGAGGTGAGGGTCAGTAATGGAGTCGGCACAGGCAACCACACCGAGAGGGAACCCATTCGCTGCAAGGAATTTCATGATTGTGTCTTTCTGTACATCTGGTCTTCCAGTTAGGTACACAAGGAGATAGCCCAGGTCTCTCCAGTGACTGGTAGGAGAGAGATGAGAGAGAGAGAGAGAGAGAGAGAAGGTGAAGCAGCAAGGGGTAGGGGAAGAGGAAGGAAGAGGGTTACGTAAGATGCAGGCTGTTAGAGGACAATACGAGGAATCTGGCAAACAAATTGTGCAACAGTATTCCGAGAAGGCTGCCCCGTCAATGATGACCATTTGAGCTAGGAACATCAATTCATACAAGACCCAATCACTGTGCAAATGAGGGGGCAAACCAATCAGCTATTCAGGGCACTCAAATGTCAACTGACAGAGTTTCGCTCTATGTGTCCAGCCCCATTCAAATATAGTAGCCAGTAAAGAAGGCCTCTACAAGGCTGCGGAACAGGTGAAATGGAGGTCTCACCTTGCTACCTGCACAGCTCCCGGCTTGCACTTCATAGTTTTGCCAGAGAGAGAGAAATTGTCAGCCAGAGCTCCGTCGAGACTGAATACCACTGCCTCAGTGTGGGGCGGCATTATGAATAGGTTGCAGCCTGCTGTGGTGTGGTCTCCTCTGGTAACCAGTAGGGAGAGAGAGAATGGAGGACTCATTAATGAAGAGGGGAGGGGAGGGGGTTACCGGACAAGTAGTTTGATGGGATGCACTCCAACTGGTAACCTCCTCGTGATAGTGTAGGAGGCTCTGCCGTGTTTATCAGTTGCCATGGTGTCCAGGTGTTGCCAGGAGTTTGCCCTGCCTGTCTGGACCAGCAGGTACACATCCACCTGCACACACAGACACACACAGACACAGACACACCTACTTCTCTGTCTGTGATTGGGATTAGGTTGAAACCACAGTCCAGTCAAACATCTACATACACCCCATAATATGAAGTCCTATTGAAGCCCTATATGTCGTCATTCTTCTTTCTTTCTCAGTATAGTGTGAGCTCTTCGTTCTCTTTGGTTTTCTATTAGAGACCATTGAGACAGTGAAGTGTAACTATGGAAGCATTTCGGTGCTATGGAGCTAGAGAATTCAGTTGCGGTACTAATAGCTAGAGATGTTGAAATGGTAACAAGAGGTGTTCTAGATGAGAGAGAGAGGTGGAATCTGACCAGTTCCTTGACGAGAGAGACCATCCCCAGAGGTCCATACTCAAATTTGCCATGGAGAGAGGCACTTGGTCCAGCACCCAGGCACAGTACGTCGTTCACTCTGTGGTTGGGACTTAGTCTCTGGGGGGAGGGGGGAGAGGAGAATGAGATGTCAATATCCAATTAAAATCAAATTGCCAAACAGTATGAGGCAGCAATTGGCAGTGAAAAACTTTGCTGATAATCCTCAAAATATTTCCAGAAAGTGTTCGTTCTGATGTGACAGGAAGATGAGTGACACCTTAATCTTCATGGCAGTTCTCTTGCGACTCCATTTCTCTGTTCTCTGTGGAGGAATGAAGACTCTCTCCTCCCTCCCCTCCTCCCAGCCTCGCACTATACACGTCGAGTTGTGGTGGAGAACCTGCACAGACACACACAGTCACCAACATCTCGTCTTCTTTTTATAGCTAAAACCTATCGCAACTAAATTTCTTTTACAAACTTGAGTTTCCACAAATAATGTATGCTGTGCCTGCAGGCATTCGCGCACAACTGTAGCGAAAGTCACTTTTGAGCGATTTGCGATTGTCACAAGAATATTTAGTTAAACAGTGTCGATTTCCTTGTCTTTTTCTTCTGGAAATGTTGCTGTGTAAACCAACATGTATGTGGGACTGTATGCACCACATGAGTGTCCCAAACATCAGCAAAGATAACAATTAGTACAACACAAACTGAAAGGCAAGAAAGCGAGGTATGTAAATGAAAACCACAGGAGCCGTAGGCATGTTGTTACAAGTCTCGTATGAACTGAATATCAAACAACCAGCTGGGGGCAAACCTGAAACCAACAGAGAGAGAGGGAGGGGGTGTTTGCACCTGTCTGAGGACGAAGGAGACGATTTGTTTGGCTTCCCAGTAAGAGGAGTGGATTACATGAGTGATGGCTGTGAGGGGGAGGTAGTCATGGGAACTGGAGGTCAAAGGTGACTCCAGGAGGTAGTCCAGACGATGTCGAGACCACCACACTGAGAATGGCATCAGGTCTGTCGCGAGGAGAGAGAGAGAGAGAGAGAGGAGGGGAACAGATTAGAGTGAGATCAAGGAACAAGGCAACGGTTAGTTACACACCATGTCAATTACACACATTCCTACATGACTATAGGAATGAAGGAATTTAAGTCAACCACCACAGTCAATAGCCAATCAGAATAGCTATCAGGTGTATACATTCTACCTGATCTTCATAGTCAGATTAGTTAGCATAGACAAGGTGCTGTAACTCCTGCTGAGGACGCAAAGGGTTAAAACAGCTCACCCTCTAAATGAGTGGGTGTGGCAGGGATTACCCCCTCTTCCTCCACGGTGATGACACACTCGGCAGAGATGGACTTTTTACGATTGAGGCTGTGGGCACCACCAGCCAGTCGCCGGACGGCAAACAGATGAGGATGTTTGGATACAGCTCCGTGGAGAGTGCTGGGCTCTGCCAGACCTGTCGGGAATGGGGGTGGAGGATATTTCTGATCAGTACTGTGGTCCCAATTGCACCAGTAAAGAAGAAAAATGGGCAATAACAGGTTTGAAGGGAATGTGGCAGTAATATAATGGCTAAAACAAAAAAATTTAGCCCTTATATACGCCCCCTTTAAAATGTTGACCTAAGATAACAAAATTAATAGCTAATGTGGTAATAAGGGAATGTAATTACTAGCTAAGGACATTACCTTGAAGAAGGTTGTAAATAGCTAGTGAGCTACCTTTGGGGTGGAGGCGGTAGACGGGTACAGTGGCAGGTGAGAGCTGAGAGAACCTCTGATCCAACAGTGGCTCCACTCTCGAGGACATGGGGTCGTGGGGGTAGCTCAGGTTGTAGAACCCCAGACAGCTGGGTCGCGGAGGAGGGAGTGGGGCTGTGGGGAACACACAGTTTATGGCCATCAGTCGAGAGATTTGTAACGCTTTTGATTTATGTAGCGTCACTCATTAGTATAATATACAGAGAAAGGTGTTGTGAACTTGAGTCCCACCCAAATGAGAAAGAGAGACACCTGCAGCTCCGTGGTGTGAGCGTGTCATCTGGCGAGAGGCCAGCACCAGCCCCAGAGGTGATCCGAGGCAGAAGAAATGGGTCACGTCAAAGTCAAAGTCAAAACCGACACTGGTAGTGCGGTGAGGAGTGGAGGGTGTGAGGGTGGTGAGGGGGAGAGGAGTGAGGGAGGAGGAATGCTTCCTGTTGGAAGAGGACAGAGGCCTGGGGACTGGTGGCAGCTCCTGGGAAGGAAAATCGAAGCAGATATCTGAAATTTTGCGGGAAAATCATGGTTTGATAGCCAGTAGTGAAATTTCGGACAATTTTCAAGACCATAACAATTCTGTGAAGGTTTTCTCCTCAAAAAGTACGGGTGAGGAAGAGAGGAAAGCTGTATGATGTAATGCGCATGCCACACATACCACAGAGAAGTATCTGTTGAGATGAGGTGTAGAGGGGGCGGAGGAAGAGGAGGGGTGAGGGGAGGAGGAGTGAGTTCTCCGCTGTCCAGGGACTCCGAGGGAGTGTGATATCGGGGAGGTGGGGGAGGGGGAGAGGGAGGAAGGGCGCGACGTGAGGATGTCATAAGCAGCCACTGAGCCCATGCAGTCAGTGATCAGACACACCTGGAGAGGGAGAAGATAGTTTGGCAGTTACTCTCACTGTACTAAGGCAGGCTAACATGGTTTTTGTAGTCAATAGCTGGTTCTAGACATAGCATGCACGGAACGTGAAGAAGAAGCTTTTCTAGCAGTGACATGAGGTGAGCTCACTTGTCCGCTGAAACCGTGTCCTTCGGGAGACTGTAGGAATTCCTGATAGACTCTGTTGGCGGAGGCTGCCACTGTCTTCAGCTGCTCCGGGTACCTGCACAACAGACAGAGACTGTACACTATAGTGGGAGTCCCTCTAGTAATGAGGCATAACAAAGTTTCCACATTAGCGAGGTGTCCTTGTTAAACTGCATGAAAGAACTGTTTTTGGGGTATGATTATTGTAGAGGTGTCCTCATTTGAGTAGTGCCGTTAGAGAGGGGTTCCTCTGTATATCACCCCTGCAAAAGCTGCCAATAACTAGATACCTATCTATATATAAACAATGGCACCGAAACTAGTTCTGATCATAGGCCAGACCATGTGGGAGCAATCATTAATTTGGACGACCCTGTAGGCTCCCTTCATGGGCCAAAGACATTATGCCCTAGTTGTTTGCCACAGAGTAAGTTCTGAACTCTGACCCTGGAGACTGTGTGGTGAGGAGGGGAACCACGGCAACGGGGAGGTGTGTGGGGAAGGTGCTGGAGGAGGAGGGGGAGGGAGGAGAGGAGGGACGAAGGGACGGCTCCACTACCAAACTATCCAGAGACACTGGCACTGGATTCACCTGTCAGAGAAAGATATGCAGCAAATTTTGAAGAACTATCTGAGGTCCCCACCAGTTACATCACACACCTGACAGAGGATTTGGTAGGCGTGTGTAGTGAGATCAGGACAGGGAACTTGCCGCAGAGCCCATCGCCCGGCTGCCGAGTGGAAATGGAGCTCGGCCACGTTGGCGAGGTTTGAGCTGAACGTTCTGAAGTCGATGGAGCGACCGAGAGAGGAGTCTCGCTGCACCGTCACACCTCCCTGGATCACCAGGAGGAGGATGTCCACGCCGTGGGTCTCTGGAGCCTCCCCCACAGCTGGAGCTGAGGCTGCGGGGTTGGCGAGAGAGGAAGGGGAGGAGGCAAAAGATTAAGATTCTTGTAACTTTGTTTGAAACAATAGGAAGTGTGTCTATTGCATAAAACTTGACACATGAGACCAGTATATACATTTATTGAAGTAAGAATTTGTCACAATGTCGCGTCGTGTATCTAGTGGTGCTACTCTGTACAGACTCTAACCCATGTCTTCTCCAGAAGATATGGAGTTCATGGAGGAGGAGAGGGGGAGGGAGTCAGTTTCTTGTCCCTGAGCCTCTTCGTACTCTTCCTCGGAGTCCTCAGCCCCACTTGCCGTCTCTAGAGGGACAGGAGATGAACAAGAGTATGCTGAGAGGAATGTACTAATATAGGAGAACAGAGTCATCTGAACAGAGTGAGCCCACCCAGTCCTCTGAACTCTACGATAAGAAACTAGTTTTACGAGCAAAGTGCAGCAGCACTATTACCATACCGTCGTCATGTTATACACATTTGGAAAACCACACAAACTTTGAACATGGTATGTTTGTTCACCAAAAACCTTGCATTCGTTCTGCAGCCACCGTGAATTAATTGTTCTGGTGACGAATATTACTTTGATTTCTCAAACATAAACTGTACCTTTTGTACTCCCATTCTGTCACTGACTGCCTTTCATTTCTACACCCAACTACCTTTGTACTGCAATCTAATACACTTTGATTTCCTAACAATAACTGTCATCTTTGTCCCATCTTATCTCTGTCCTATTGTACTAGCAGGTACAGGGGAGGGTCTCTTGGTCTTGTTTTGGTACAAATCCACTTTTGTAGGAGAGTACGTAAAGATCAATGAAACGCTCTTCGAGCAAACAACAATAAAGATTGTAAGTGATGTAATGTTACGTAACCACATACCCAGAGCGTCAAAGAACTCGAGGTCTGATTCCGAGTCGCTGTGGC